TCCTGCCCAGGCAGGGGGTCGGACTTGAAGATCTACAAGGTCCCTTCCAACCCTACTTCTATGATTCTATGATATGATTCTATGAATTTCATGAGGGGGAGGCAGAGGATGACAGATGTGGGGGAGTTGAGACCGGAGCAAGTCAGTAGGGTGTGGAAAGGGCTGGTGGGGAAGGAATGGAAAGGGGAGCATGAGGAGCTGGCATGGAGGGCCGTGTGAAACACTTTGCCAGTACGACAGGTGCTCTATCGCTGGGTGCAGTCCCCCAAGTGCCCAAGGGAGCTCTGCTATGAGCCTGAGTCGGTGCCACATGTGCTGTGGGACTGGTTTTTTGCACAATGGGTGTGGGGTAGCTACCTATCTGAAGGATACTGGAAGGGGAATAGGGATCATCCCCAAACGTTTTAAATGGGTTGTCAGAGGGGATGGATGGGACATGGGGAATGAGGGTTTTGATCACATGCACCAAAGTAGCACTATGAAAAGTGCGCTCACTGTTGGCGCTAAAGGAGTCATGTTTTTCTGCAGTAGAGTGTTTACAGTTAGGGATGTATGAGCTGGAGTTTTATTGAGGTAGGGAAAGAGATATGATAGAAGGAGGGGATTCAAAGCTGTGGCAAGGGCTGGACTTCAGGGGGTTGTCCCAGCCCCACATAGGGATAGGTTGAATTTAAGGTGCCACTTAGTGCCAGAATGGGTGGGTGAGGGCTTGTGTATGGGATACAGAGGGGGAGAGGTGATTTGCCCCATACTTTTCATTTTTCTGGTTTATGTACTGATGACTGAACCTGTATGTATGTAAGAAGCAAAGTGTAATTTGTTCTGTGTCATGTTGGCTGATACTGGCTACAGTTTAAGTGAAGCTGAATATGATGTCAGCTATCACGTTTGTATTATGTAATTTAGGGAATTTTATGTTGTAATTGTTTCTGTGAGGCCTCTTGAGTCATTTTAGACTGTCTGCTTTTGTCTGTTTTCTAATAAAATGATTAAAAAAAAAAGTATCATCCTGGAGGTAAGGGAGGAGCTGTAGGGGATGGCTAGGAGGCTCCTGGTCCTGGACATGACCTAAAACTGCACCCTGCTGGGAGTGGGTGGCCTGGTGGGGCTCCCAGTGGTACGGGAGCCCCCAGGAAATGCCAGGCTAGTTATCACCTCCATGAAAAGTGGGTAGGGACACCTTAACCCTAGCCCTCACCTTTGTGTGGGTCTAGTAACACTGGAGGTACTTGGGGGCCAGGCACAGCTGCAGCCACCTGAGCCTGTGAGGTGCAAGACACCGAGAGACCCCGAGGAGGGAAAGTGGGGGCCAGGCATGGCTGTGGCCACCTGAGCCCTGTGTGGGGTGTAAGACCTGGAGGAAAGGTAGTTGGGGCCAGGCCTGGCTATGGCCACCTAAGCCCACTGGGGAGACCCATGACTCTGAGTGAGGGGCGGTGTGGAGCCCCAGTGAAAGGGAGTAGGCCCAGGTATGTTTCTAGATGCCTGAGGCTGTAATTGGGCCAGAAGCCATGTAAAGGGGGCTTAGCCTGAGATAGAGGTGTGAGTCCTGACCCCGGTAAGTCCTCCACCGCTGGGAGGCCGAGGGTGGGTCAAAGGCAGATCTATAGTGAGCAGATCAATGACATGCTGCTCTGGGGGTGGGGAGTGAGAGTCCCTGTGAGACCCTGGAGCACCAGTCATGGTGCATTACCCCAGCTCCCACAACTGGGTGGGTAACCCCTAGTAGGGACCAGAAGGCGGACCCTAGAGAGCAAAGGGGCTAGTGGCAGAGGCCTGAGGTAGAATACCCTCAACTGGTCAATGCTGGGGCCAGGACCAGAACAGTCAAAAGGGCCAGGGGCCCACCGTGAGGGATGCCCAGAGCTGAGGGCTTGTGGTCCTAACTGGCTTTGGAGGTGAGGCCAGGGCCTGTGTGGCCAAAGGTCCCGGGGAGACCACGCCCAAGAGGGGAAATGGTTTCAGGGAGCTAGACAGCTCAAATGAAGGAGGGATAGGCCACTGGAATGGAGGGATCTTAGACAGGAGGATTCTGGGGCCCAGTGTGAGGCTGGTGAGATCAACAGCTGGATGCCATCTGCGAGGCCTGGGCTGCAGTGTAGGGGAGGTATGGAGCTACAGATAGCGCCCCCTGGCATCGGGGCAAGAATGGGCAGCCTCCCGCCTTAATTAACATCATAATTAATTAAGAACAAGGCATGGCAGGCGAGTCAGGTGGGTGGCATTCCCAAAGGCAAGTGGGGAGACTAGTACTGTGGCTAGGTGGGAAGCCCCACTTTGCCGCACATTGACAGCAATTGTGGTGCCTGGGTGGGGACAGATGAAGAATTAATTCAGAGCAGTATAACTGACTGGCACAGGTAAATTTAGTGACAAGATTGTAGCTCAAAATCTTATTTTAAGAGTTGTCAACCTTAAGGTTTTTTCCATGTTCCCAGCTATTAGAAAGGACACTCATTAGTGCTTCATAATTTAAGCCCAATTGTTTTTTACCTGTCTGCATGACAGCCATTCTAGCCTGGCAGGCAGCTTAAATTAAATTGCATGCACACACAATGGTTATCTGAACAGCCTCCCCCCACCAGTATAAGCTACTGGCAAGAGTGTTAGACATTAATTAAAGATAAACTTATATTTGTTAACTGTCCTTATTCCATATATACAATTTCAACACTGTTACTCCTGTGACAATTTCACAATGGTTTGAAAACATTGTGCAGCAAGAACAGGATAAGAGAGAGGTAAAAAAATTAAATGGCAAATACATAAGGAATGGAAGAATAAGTAGAGCTAAGAGGAAAAAAGGCCTCAGATGAGAAAAATATCTGATAAAGTGCCAGAATAAATCTAAGCATGAGTTAAAGTTCTTTGTTCTGCTTTTGACTTAACATGCAGACAGTTCTGATAAGGACTTCCTCTCCATTGAAAAATTGATGATTATTATATATCGAGAGAAAGACTATACTTCTTTATAGCATAGCTTTTATTATAGTATATCCTAGATGTTGGTTGTTAACATAAGGACTATCATGAGAATCCTTTGCTGGAATTACCAGCTTCACTTGTTTTATTGCATTTCTTGTTCATTATGCAATCACTTTTCTTTGTTTCGAGTCAAGTTAATGTCAGGCATGTGAAAATGCTGATCAGTGGTGGAGGTCAAAGTCCTCTCCATAAAACAGGTGAAGTGCAAGGACAGTGCAAACTTTTCCCAGCCCCAGCTGCAACCCAGAGAAAACAGGTAAGGATCAGCTCAGTCAATCCATCCTTAGTTCTTGTAGAAAGTGCAAACAAAAGGTCACATGGCCATTGTGACCCAGACTGCCAAATGCCATCAAACAACCCTCACATCTCCTTACTCTTTATCCAGGTTGGAGTCTGGACTTATCAGGAACTTATCTAGTCCCCCTGCCTTGTCACTTGAGTTCACATTAGGGTGTTTTTTGTACAGACCTTTTCACTTTCAACATCCACAACAGTAGCTTCACAACCAAACCTAAGACACAGGGAAATCTGAAAAACTCATGGATCTGTACACTGCTCTTAGTCCCAACCTCACAGCACTAACTCCACAGCTAGAGCCAGGGGTGACACGTAGCGGGTGCACGGGGATGCAGCAGGATCGGCCGCCAGGGGACCTGCCCCCAGTCAGTGGGATCGGCTGGTGTCAGAGGGGCACGTGACCCCTTGACTCAAGAGGCACCAGCCACCCATGGCTAGAGCCTTAAAGTGCCTGCAGAAGAAAACAACCCAAGCCCTACTAAGCAGCTGTTTCTACCTCTGACTTCCCCAGCCTGCAGGATTGAACAGAAGTGAAAAACAGAGGGGAGAGCAACCCCAGACAGAAAGCTGCCAGTGCAGTAGGTGACAAATTACAGTTACAGCCCCAAATTCATTAAGACTTGCACACCCATGCTATAACTTTATTTTAGTACTTTGTACTCCTCCCTGCCAAGAAGTTTTCTGACTGGACACTCTTTGGATCAGGGGCTGCCATTTACTGCACCCCATGTGTGTCACTGAGATTGAAAGACATCCCAACACCACCGGGATTGAACAAACATTTGGATCACTCCCGGTGCCTGATGACTTTGGAGCCAGAGAGGTAGTTAGCCATGTTAGTCTAAAGTCACTCAGACGGCAGGGTAGAGAACCACCTTTGGAGCCAGACCAGCGAGACCATCAGGGCTAGCTTCCCCGCCCCCCATGAAAGTTCACTTATTCATGCAGCTTCCATAGGTCTTGGAAGAGCATTGCCAAAACGCAGCCCAGCAAAATCATAGTGCTGCGCATGGACAAGGAGGGGCTCCCTGGAGATGTGGGGGCTCTCAGGATGTCAGCACTCCTCATCATTTATTAAGAAGAGGTAGTTGGTGGTGTTAGTCTGGGCAGGGCAGCACCTCAGACTCCAATTTGTCCCAAAAGGCATCAGCTGCTATCTCATGCCCCTCTGAAGGTGCTACTCTGGCCTCGCCTCGTTAAGTTATTTGTACCGCAGTGTCGCTGCGCTGGGGGCCTCCAGTGCCCAGCACCACAGACCTCCTACAGCCACAAGCCGAATCCAAGCGGTGGCCCCGCCCCGCCCCGGTCCGGCCCAGTCCTGCCCTGTCCTCAGAATTCTAGGAAGAGCAGCTTGGCCCCGCCCTCTGGAAAAGGGGCGGAGCCGAGCCGTGCCGGGACCGAATGGGAGCGAGGCCAGAACGGGCCGGGCCACGCCGTTGGCCCACTTTAGAAGACTCGGCCAACAGCCAATGAGGAGAGGAGTTCCCGGTTCCTGGAAGAGGTCCCCGGGCGACAGCGTCACGCGGTGCGGGTGACATTGCCCGCGCGTAAACAAGGGCAGGGGGAGGGTTGAAGTCCGCGGAGGCCACGCCCGCTCCCTGGGCACCCCCCGCCGCCGCGAAGGGAGGGGGCGGGGCTTGCTTCATGGTCCCGCCCCCTCCGCAGGCAAGTAAATAGCGGCGCATGTAAGTGGCATGAGCTAGAGCGACCTGCTCGCCCGAGCCGACGCGTGTCGCAGCCCAGCCCAGCCCAGCCCAGCGGAGCGATGAAGGCGGCCCGCATAGCGCTGCGCAGCGCTGCCCCGCTGGCGGCGAGCTGCCCCCCGGCGCCGCGGGAGGTGGAGCGCTTCGCCCGCTTCTCGCCGTCCCCGCTCTCCATGCAGCAGTTCCTGGACTTCGGTAAGAGCCGGGGCGGATCCCAGGCTGTCCTCGCCTTTGGTACCTTTGCAAAATGCAGCTCATGCGATGCGCTCTGACCCCCCGGGGCAGGGGGGTGAGCAGCCCCAGCGCTAGCCCCGGCTGCCTGGCTCCCACGGTATAAAGGTGTCTGGACGTGGCTGCCTAGGGTTTAGGGATCACTGCACCTGGGTAGGCCACCTGTAGAAGCAGGGGTGGCGTTTGGGGGAAAATTTGCCTTACCCCTTCCCACCCCCCCATTGCCACCCCTCCCAGCACTGACCCTATCCAAAACCCCTGCCCCACTCCCATCCACAGAGGTTTAGCGCGTGCCCAGCCCCCATGGGGCCCATGTCCCACCTGTGTATAGCGCAGCCCCCACAGTCGTCTGTCTAGCCCACCTCAGCCCTCCCCCACTGGGAAGAGGCTGGTGCCCACCCATGTGTAGAGGCCAGAGATCCCCTTGGGGGCGACCCAGCCCTGCAGTGCCTCCTCGGGGACCTGCACTGCCATGATCGCAGAAATGAAAAGACCCAGTTCTGAAATTGGATCCGAGAGAAGCCAGCTCATGTGTGCTGACATCCATCCCTGGGTTTGTTTTGCAGGGTCGGCGAATGGATGCGAGAGAACCTCTTTTGCCTTTCTGCGACAAGAGCTTCCTGTGCGGCTAGCAAATATCCTGAAAGAAATTGACCTCCTTCCTGTTCAGTTGCAGAGCACTCCCTCCGTCAACCTGGTGAAGAGCTGGTAAGTATCTAGGATTCCACTAAAGTCCTTGTGACAGAGTGCCCTGGAGCTGACAACTCCAAGTTACCGCTACTCTTGTCCCTTGGTCAAGAGACGGTAAAATTAGGCTAGACCACAAGGTAACTGAAACATTTTGGGAAGTAGGCAGGAAGGGCCTTTGAATGGCTGCAGTAAATCTCGCTGTATTACGAGGGCATAGAGAATGTAGTCCTGTTCCCCTCAGCCAAATGTTTAAGTTGCCATAACTTGTTCTTGTCCAAGTGTGTGTGTGTGTGTGTGTGTGTGTGTGTGTGTTTGTTTGTCTGTTTTTATTATTTGTTTTGTTTGTTTGTTTACAAAAAATGTGCTTACAACAGACAGATTTATCTGCCAGCTGCACATCAGAAGAAATAAAATCCCAAATACTTCTGTATTCCCTACAGAGGAACAGCGCTAAAATGTAGCAGTCCACGGTGAAATGTAATGTCTCTGGGTCTCTTTGCTGGTCTGGTGCCAACGTGTCACAGAATTCAGTGGGGCAGATTCTAGCCCGATTTGTTGGCTTGTGTAACAAGAACAGCAGTTAAAGTTTCTATCAGACTAGGTTGTGGAATCTCCATCCCTGGAAGTCTTCAAGAGCAAGTTTTGAGAGACTCTTGCTTGGGATGGTCTGGTCACAAATGATCCTGCCATGGGCAGGTGACCGAACTAAGGGCACTCTTACACGTGCTCCGGGGGGTGGCAAGGGGGACATTGTCTTTAATTAAAACAGCTTCAAGAGCCACTCTAAAGTACCACAGCGTCTCCTTTATCATCATCCCCACACTTTAAAATGGTGGCAGAGATGCTTGAATGAAAGCTTGTTGGAGCTTTAGTTCAAGCACCCCTGCTGCCATTTTGAAGTGTGGGAATGCTGATACAAGAGACACGAGAGGCTACTGGAGCACAGTAATTGCCACACTCCAGCAGACTCGATTTTAATTGAGTCTGCTCCAGCGTGCTCTAACTACAGTATCAGAAGCCTCCATGCTTATGTACAGGCACCCTAAATGACCTTGTGAGGTCCCTTCCCTCTCTACTTTCCTATGATCCGATGAAAAAGATCTGTCACGATTAACTCCATGGAATACAAATTGTATGTCAAGGAAATGTTGGAAGATGTAGTCATAAAATAAACTTAGTCCTTTCTCACATACACCAGAAGGATTTAGCCTACATAATCTATTGTTGTTGATAACAGATATGCCAGACAGAGCACTTTCAGGTTCAGTTTAGAGTTTGTAGGAGTGGCTTACATGAGAGTAAGCAAAAGGTCTTTTTTTCTGGATCTAAAAAAGGACTTGGGTGCCTAAAGTTTCAGTTTAGAGTTTGTAGGAGTGGCTTACATGAGAGTAAGCAAAAGGTCTTTTTTTCTGGATCTAAAAAAGGACTTGGGTGCCTAAAGTGGGACTTCAGCATTTAGGTGTGTAAATCTAGATTTGTGATTTGCCCAGGGTTAGGGCAATCTTTAGAGTTCCCCAGCCAACTGCAGATGTATTGCTGCTTATTTCCAGATCTGTCCCAATCTTGAAAGAGCTGAGCAGCTCAGAGTTTAGCACAGTTAATCCTGACCAACATCCCAGAGATTATGCATTCGTCTAAATTCCCTGAGGACTCAATCCAGTAGGCTTTCTTAGTGTGTGTTTAACACACTGGCAGGATCAGCTTCCTTGCAAAATGATAGCAGATTCTGTGGGAGCAAGATGAAGGATCTTCACTTGTCTATAAAAAAAATCTGGTGGTTAGTATCCCAAGAAGTGAGACCCAAGTTCAATTTTCATCCATCTGTGTGTTCCATAAACGGTATTTGGAGTAGAACCCAGGGCTCCTGCTTCCTACTTCTGTGATCTCTGCTGTTATTGGGTGGGGGGGAAGCAGAATTGCCTTGCTGTGCTTTAACATAAGAGTGAGCCTTGCGAGAGATGATTCTAGGTGATGTTCCCTAAGTGGATGGAGGTGCCCAGGTCCTAGACGGGTGCAGATTTCAAACATCTCTAGGTGCTCTTGGCCAGCTCTAAATGACTCTTTGTTCTGGATCCCACAGAGGCATCTAACTTTCCCCATATCCTCTCTAGGGAGCCTGGGCACCTAATACAGATTTGGGATTCCAATCTAGGTCCAGGCAGCTAAAATTGGGCATTACAGTACTTACCCACTGGACACCTAATTGGAACAAGTCATTTGACAGTGATGACTGGAATCAAACTGAGTCACTTTGAGTGGCTTATTGGAGCTATGACAGTTTATTTACCTGTTAAGTAGTAATTTCAAGGATAACTTTCTCTGCTACTTCCAGATTAATAGCAATTAAGTAAGCAGCCTGTATGTCTTGTGATGTCTCTTTTCAGGTATATGCAGAGTCTAATGGATCTAGTTGAGTTCCATCAAAAAAGTCCAGATGATCACAGGGTTTTATCTGAGTAAGTGTCTTTTTTTTTTTAATGAACCTCTTTATTTTGCTTTCCCTCCTATCACAATGTAGTGAGCCTGAAATGACAAATATCAAGTTATCAGAATCGTTAAGTGACCAGGGACTGACCCTTTGTTTTCATTAGAACTTTCTATATTGTGTAGTATTTCTCAGCAGAACTAAAGCTTAAAGGCAGCAGTTCCATTGCAAATCTCATTTGGCATGAAAAAATAAATTTTAGCAAAAAATGCTTTTAGTAAAATTGTATCCCAGTTTAAGTTTTGTTGAGAGCCATTTTCTCTCTCTTTTAAATTTTCATGTGGTCAGCCTCAGTTTTCTGAAAATATTTTTTTTTTAATTGATCTAGCTTTATAGATTCACTCGTTACAGTCCGAAACCGACACCACAGTGTTGTTCCTACAATGGCACAAGGAATAATTGAATACAAAGACACCTTTAAAGTGGATCCAGTCATGAATCAAAACATTCAATACTTCTTGGATCGATTTTACATGAACCGTATTTCCTTCCGGATGCTAATAAATCAACATAGTAAGTTGAACATCCCTTTTCTTGAAACATCTTGTAAGCCTTTGTAGAACACACTAGAGACTCTTATTAATGAGTCAGAAGAAATATTAAGATGCCTTTGGTTGTCACTTGGTAATGACAAGAATGAGTGGTGACAGCAACAACCACCTGTTGTTGTCTTGACTCAATACTAACTCTAAATTAAGGAAGGTTTTTTGTGGACATCTAGTGATAAAATCCATGCCTACAAAAATACTTTTAGATGTTGATGTACTAGCAAACAAAATGAAGTTAAGTGTAGTTTGTTTTTTCAGTAAGTGGGAGTTCTCCAGATCAAACCTAAGCTGGCTGCTTGCAGACGTCTAAAAAAATAAAATAAAACAAACGGTGCTTTACTTTAAACTCAGCATGTTACTGTGCCAAGCCTCACACATGCCCAGAAGAGGCAGTGCAATACTTCAGTCGGCCTCTGCGGTGTCTGTAAAGATTGTGTACTTTAGTGGGGCTTTTTTGGCACTTTTATCTAATAGCTGATTTAATTGGCTTTAGGTAAAAGCGCTAAAAAGCCCCCCACTGAAGCTCCCGATCCTTACAGACACTGCAGAGCCAGGTTGAAGTAATGTACTGCTGCTTCTGTTAAAGCATGGATGTATTTGTTTTATATGTCTGCAAGCAGCCTCTGTTCTTGACACTTCCAAGTTTTAAACAGTTTCTTTTGAAGAAGCTTTGAAAAAAAAAAAAAAAAAAACAACCCAACAAGCTTTAAATCTTTTTCAGCTCCCTACGCGTTGTAAGCATTAAAAGGAACATCCTCTTGGCCTGGGTTGATTTGAATGAACTGACTCTTTCATAATTAAATTTAGCAACTTGAAGTGAGATGTAACATGAGTTTTATCTTTAAAACAGCACTTCTTTTTGATGGTAATGCCAACTTGATGCACCCCCAGCAAATTGGAAGCATTGATCCTTGCTGTGATGTGGTGGCAGTAGTTCATGGTATGTAGATTTTTAAATCTCTTAAAGTTTCGATTCATGGCCAACAGATATTCTTGTTTGCAAGTGGTTTGACAGGCAGCCAAGATAGGTTTATCAAACATGCCAGAAGTGACTTCTCTGTTAACTGCTGACATAAATGCCTGACCTACTTATACATTTTGATATCTTGGCCTTAAAGAGGATGAAAAAGAGCAGCAAATCTTAGCTAGTACTAAGATATGGTAATAACATAAGACCTATTTGAACAAGTATTTTTATGTGATATACTGGGCAGGAGTGATTTGAAGTTATTGGTGATTTAAAGACAAACCCAGCTGCGCCTCGGGTGCTATCCTGCACTCTCTAGACACCTGTTTTTTATAACACATTCATTTTTATGATAAATTCTAGTGAGGC